CCAAGACGGCCCAAGAGGCCCCCAAGATCGCCCCAAAAGGCCCGAGAGGCCTCCGACAGGGCCCCAAGACGGCACAGGAGGGTTCCAAGACGGCCCAAGAGGCCTCCAAGACGGCCCAAGAGGGCTCCAAGAATGCTCTAAGAGAAGCCCCAGAGGGGGAACACGAAACAACAGTTCGAGCCCTCGGCCCTAAGAAGCCCCCAGGAGGCGCCAAGAGGCCCCTTTGAAGCCCCAGGAGGCCCCCAAAAGGCCCTCACGAGGCCCCCAGGAAGCTCCCAAGCGGCTCCCAAGCGGCTCTCAGAAGCCCTAAGATGCTCCCAAATGCTCCCAAAGGAGCTCCGGGAAACCCCCAAGAGGCTCCAACAGAAACCCAAGAGGCCCCCAAGAAACCCCCAACGAGGATCCCAAAGGCCGCCAAAAGCCCAAACGCCAGCGAGGGCACAATACAGGCAGGCGGAATGAGCGAAGCGATTACATAATTATTCCGATGAAAGGCCCGTTTGTAAGTGCCCAATGTTCTATCGTACTTCGAGATAAGTATATTGACTCCTGGCCTGCGTCGCATGTTGCGTTTTGGGCTCGGGGGTGAAGGGCTCATCGGCCCGTAAGGCCACCCTCGTGAGAGAATTGAGTCACGAGTTTGGCCTCCGTGGGGGGAGCGCCTCTGTGGCCATGCACTGGGATCTGAAGAAGTTGTTTGACATTGCGAGGCCCAGCTTGCTCATTCGATGTACCATGCGAATGGGGTACCCCCCATCACTTCCTCGACCTTAGAATGTTCATGCACACCGCTATTCGGATGCTGGAAGTGAATGGGGAGGTCGGGGGTGGGGTCGAAATGGGCTGAAATCTACATTTGCTAGGCCATGGATGCTGCCCATTTGTCGTTGCAGTGAGATGTCAGTAGGGTGGTGGCACGGGCGTATGTTGATGACTGTTCTCAGAAGGTGTATGGCGAAGAAGAGGACCCGTTGGAGCAGCTCCTCCCTGCTGCGGTCAGGCGTAGCCACGAAATTGACACGACCAGGATGTAGCTTCAGCAAAGGTTCGCGCTCGCGCGCTCCTCGCTACCGCTGGGTGCTCGCATCGTGGAGAGCCTGGCAGCTGCAGGCTTGCATCGCAGGCTTCAGAATGAAACCTGGGACCTTGGATCCACCACCACGGTGGGGCGTCGGCGGAGGGGCATTGCGGCTCGCAAGCGGAAGCAGGAGGCCTGCAGGCGGGCCAACAAGGTTACTCTTCTCTCGAAGGTTTACCAGCGTGCGCCTCTAAGCTGTAGAAGCCAGGAGCCTTGGCGGCGAAGCCCTGGGTCCACCAAAGACCTGGTGTTTCCGCCCGCCCAATGCTCAGGATGGTGAACCTCTGGGAGTCGTACCACCCCGCATGTGTCTCTGCTTTGTTCGCCTAAGGCGACCCAGGGTTTCGTATGCGTCACGAGCAGCTGGCGAGTTCTCATGAGATGTGGCAAGAGCTTGCGCGGTTCCTCGACTTGTCCAGCTCCCGACGCTCCAAAACGGCCCAAGAGGCCCACAGGACCGCCCCAAGACTGCCCACGAGGCCCCCAGGAGGGCCACACAACACGGCCCAAGAGGGCCCCAAGACGGCCTCAGAGGCGCCCAAGACGGCCTAGCCCGAAGAAGGGTTCGAGGAGGGGAACACGAACCGAAAACCCGAGTCTTCCGACGCACAAGGCCCTGGTTTTCAATACAGGGTTCGTAGGGTTGAATTCCCAAG